AATTGTAAATAAAAAGAATATACAGTATATAGACAGTTCTTTATTAAAAGATAAAAACCTTCATTTATTTTTATATTATTCTTCACATAATAAAAGTTCGATAAATTACGATTTTCAAGATTATGAGGATCCTGTATGGGACGAATATTGAATTACAATATAGTAACAAACATAATGTTAATTTCAGTAAAAAAAATGTTATTACCTGTAAAGTTATTATATCTTTTCTTGTGAAAGGCTCGTCTGTTAATAAATCTGTCCAATTTTTAACTTTAATATTTAGTCGTTCAATGGCTTCATACGCATAAACATTGCCAGTGGTTTTAATTGCAACAATATGCGTGTGATCATTGAAAACTCTAAGTGTTGCAGGACAATGATATTCATCTATAAATTGTAGATATATAATTTTAATAAACCATAATAAAATATAGTGATAATAATACAGCAAACTCGATCCAACGTTTAAGAGTTGACTGTAATAATAATAACTTGAAATTAATATATACCATTTGCATTCTTATGAAAATTAAGTTTAATCAAAGATTTAGATTCCAATTTTTCACCCGTAACAGGATTTGTACCATGTTTCTTTAGATAAGGGTATATATTTCTGAAATGTAAACGAACGCGTTAAAAAATATAGACAAACCCAAAATTGATATATTATTTATATAGAAATTCATATAATACCTCAGATCAAAAATTGTTCCATCGGGTGAACATACAGGATGTTCGAACGGTTGTAAAGATAATGAACAGTAATTGAATGGTAATCTTTTAAAAATTTGAGTTTTTTTTCTAGCTTGAATACCACCAAACTGCATTCCACCAAATTCGCCAGACCACTCTAAATAATATATAAATGCATGAGTTAGATTAGTTAATTAAAATTAGCAAGTAGCAAATTTGTCAGATTTGATCCCTTACCAGAATGAGTGATGTACCTGTATTCATTTTGATATAGAATTAGTAAAAGTGATCATACAAGGAGCTGAGCATCAAAGAAAAAAAAATAAAATAAAATAAAAAATAAAACACTGTATTTACATTTTGTCAGTGCCTTTACCCATTTTTGTAATGATTTTTTCAGACTTGAAAGAGAATTAGTTGAAAAATATTCACAAACCGAAATAATATATGCATGGGTTGCGTGTCACATTACTACTATTGTGTGTCCATATTTATAATCAAGATTAACTATTCAATAATCCATAATCCGTAATCCGTAATCCGTAATCTGTACTAATTAATTTACGAGCTCGCAACATCTAAAACATAATATATTCGATCGTAGATCATTATGAATGCTGACGAAATTGTACGGCTAAAAAAGTCGTTGACGAAAGCGCTTGAAAGCGGAAGTACTAATGTAAGTTCATCTAGTTAGCAGTGCATTCGGTGTGTGGCTTGAATAATTGACCTTTACATTACGAACATCCCAAATAAAGAATGTCCTTGACATATTGAATAGACTCAAGGAGAACTCCCCTACGAAAGAAGTTTTAAAGGTAGGAGCGTTTAATCTTGGCTGATTGTTAGAAACTTTTTTTTTTTTTTATTAAAACAAATTGGTCCTTTCCATAGAAAACAGAAATCGGTATGATTATTGGAAAGCAACGCTTACACCCAAATCCCGAAGTAGCAAAGCTTGCAAAAGAAATTGTAAAGAAATGGAAAGATGCAGTCAGTCCATCTAAAGTTAATGATACATCTAATGGCAATGCTACACCGGGACAAAGTTCGATGGTTAATGGAAAACCATCGCCTGGAAAACCCAAAAGAGAGAACACACAAGATTCTTCATCCTCATCACCACCTAATACACCATCATCAATCGACTCTGAAAAACGAGAACGTAGTTTTGATCGTGATCGCCCTCCTTATAAAAGTACAAACATTTCTGCGAGAGATAAATGTGTAAAGATGTTATATGATTCAATGGTATTCGATTCATGCGCCGGTAAAACTTTATCTACCATTATACTAAAATCCATTATTTAATATTCAACATTAATTTTTCTATCACACTATTGAATATTTTAGATTCGGATATTATTCTTTTGCGAGCTATTACCATTGAAAAAACGGTATTTGATCAATTTGGGAGACAAGTAATTGACAAATATCGAGATAAGTTACGTGGATTAATCTCTAATCTTAGAGATAAAAAGAACCCAGGCCTTAGGAAACGTATTGTTGATGGGGAGTTACAGGCCGAAGCTTTTTGCACTATGTCCAAGGAAGTAAGTTATATACAATCGAATAATAGGAATAAAGGATACTTTTTTTGTAACAACTTTTATATTGTTGTAAATGCAAAAGGACATGGCATCAGAAGAGAAAAAAGCTAGAGACAATGAAATTCGGCAAGAAAATCTTTTCAAGGCACTTGGTGCTGGGCCAACACAAGCTGAAACTGATATGTTTCTCTGTGGGAAATGTCGTAATCGCAAGTGCACCTATTACCAGATGCAGGTAAATGTAGTTAAATGATTTTGCATATTACTTTACACAAATCGAATTTATCCACAATCGAATCTACATACCAGACTAGAAGTGCCGATGAACCTATGACAACCTTTGTTACCTGTACAGTCTGTAACAATCGTTGGAAGGTAATGTCTTTCAATTCTGTTCTTTTTGATTTCGTGTTTGATACAGTAATAAACATATGTCTATCCCAAATTATAAATATTTAGTTTTGTTAAAGTCATAATTAGAGTTTAGAACCGGGTTATGGTAAACCGGGTCACCCGTGTCAAAACGGTTGAGTATGTGTAACCTCAAAATTTAACACATTTTTATTGTATTGTGAATAAACACCCTTTTTTTCTTAATATTTTATCTAAATGTTTAACCCCGCTAATTTACAAACTTTTGGAGGGACTATCTATTGTTGCGAAAATTTTGTTAAAAATTTTACTTTGTATAAACCTTTATTATTTTCTTTGCTTTGCTAATATGTAATACACTGTTCGACGTTCGATAGTACCCCGGGAATTCGTAGCGTTGGGGTTTGGGTTATGTAAGATCGCGTTGCATGAATGGCGTGATTGTCAATAGAGGTTGATTCACAAAATTAATTAAAAGTCTAATACTTACGTACATACGTACGTACGCATATAGTACCATGCGTGACAAATAATTTAGATCAATTTTAGATCAATTTTTTTAAAATCTTATTTATACAATTATGTGATATAAAATGCATAAGATTTTTAATTTTATACGGTATGTAATATCATCATATAACCGAATAATCAGACGATAATCCAATATATAAGTGCATCGATCATTTAGGCGACCTACAAATTTTGGATTTAGGAAAATACTATTTTAATAGATCTTAATAGTATACTGAGTGCTTGTAATGTTGCGTACGTTTCCTTGCGGTGCTTATTAGGTGGAAGTATCTAACCGATACACCAGTCAAATATAATAGTCAAGGAAATAAAAAGCTAGTAAAAGTCGAATTGCACGCATAGGTCAGAAAACTTTCGTATTCCAGATCGACCGCATATCCCAATATTGGATAAATTAACAGCCTTATTTGAGGCACTATTGTTCGTTGATAACGATATAAAACCCACAACGAGTATGACGAAGAGAGAATGCACTGACTGCACCATCGTCTCTAAGTTTATGTTTGTGGTCCTGCGCTAAATTGAAATTGGTGCCGAGTCATAAGATAATTTCTTTAAGATCATTAAAAATTATTAAATCAAGTATAATGTTTGATCTTTTTTTTTAATGCTTATTGATAATATTTTGTATTAAATACTTGGAGTTTTCTTGGTGACCCTTGATTATAAATATGAATTCTTTAAATAATTTATATAAACCAGAAACTTTGTGAACATCAGAAAATTTAACTTTGTGGACAATTAAGATGATTTACACTTTATATTCACAAGTCAAAAGTTCGCACATACATGAACTTAAATATTAATTTATTTGCATTGTTTACTGTAAATGTACACAGGAAATTGGTTTGACATATGAAATGATCTACCTTTAGTCTAGCCCTGGTGAATAAAAAAAATTCTTTAATGAAATGAAATGACATCTTATTATCGCCTTTTAGTTCTACCAAAACCTTGAGAACTAATTGTTCTAGATCCACTGGATGAAGATGATGTGTAAGTAGTGGCTTCAGATCTAATAGGTTATATAAAAATTTTTTTTTTTTTAAACGTAAGTTAAAATATATAATCATGGTAACAGTTAAATGATTGATTACCTAGGTCGTCGCGATCTACTATTTCTGCCCAGAAAATATCCTGCGGCTGCACCCACACCTAATCCTGTCCAAAAATTTTGACCCATATTTCCCGGTTGTGATGAATCGTAATCATACGGGTCTTGTTCAATATAAATAAATTTGTGGTCAGCATAATTTAATTTTATACGGTATAAGATAAAAATATCGACACAATTATCGAAAATGTACCATTTCTTGGGTAAAATCTTCCACCACCACCTCCCGGCCAAAAATTTTGATGATGGTTATTATTTGGTCTATGAAAAAGATTTTTTTTTTTTTAACATAGGAACGGAACCCAATTTCATTTTAGAAATGAAATAAAAAATGCTCTAAATGAGAATATACCTAAAATGTCTTCGTCTGCTTCCGGTAAGTGATGAAAAAATCTTATATAAAATAAATAACACCAAACTTATCCAGGCAAATTTATAGATCATTGAAAATAACTTTGATCCTAATAAACCACGAAAAAAAATTACAGGTGTTGCGTTAAATTCAATTTATATGCTTCCGTAACCAACCCACCCTTTATCTATGGATGAAAATCAAATACTGAAATATAAACTATACTTTTAGGATTGAATAGATTTCTGTAATCATACGAATCATCATATCGAAAGTAGTCGTTATCTTCAAACCATTGGTAATTTCGATCTTTTTTCCAGTCGTTTTTATAATAAAGTGTATACTCAAGTCCACATGATCCTAAAGCATTTGAATGTTAATTAATTATTGTTAGAAAATAGAGAGCAATAGCTTTGGAAAAATACCTTGTAGTATGTACGGATCATCAGGATAACTATACCCTATGTAGATCAAGATATCAAAATATTTAGTTACAGTATATGCCATTAATCCATGAAAGACTTCAAATCCGTTCAACATATTCATCCAAATGGACAATCCATTTTGTCCAGCATTGATATTATCTGATATAATGAACTATCCTGAATTGAGCAGATATCTAACGTATCAAAAAATTTCTTACTCTAATACCCGAAAAGGTTCTGAAAGAATCTAACCCATGTATATTTCCTACATACCTTCACAACTGACTGTCAACTACATAATGTTTTTAAATAAATGCCATTAATTTGGACTGTTGTTTGCATAAAAACCCCTTTAAATGTATCTGCAAAAATTCACATTTTTCAAATGCATCCTTTAAACGCATTGACACTAGTCAAAGCGCCCAAAATCAACATATAGTCATATTATTTTCAGTTTAGTTAATTGATTGTTGAAGGTGCTGAATATATGCTAGGTTATGTTAGCATTTTACTAGTATTCTGCTTGCTGAATAGGTATTCAACTAGCTGAATAGGCATTCAGCTAGTTGAATGCTAGCAGATCAGTAATCAATTAACTGAACTGAAAATAATATGATGATTTTTGGCACTTTGACCAGTGGGAATATGTTAATTGCAACTTCTGATATCTAAATACACGGTTATATCTAGTCCAAAGGGTACATTTAAAGAAGTTCCACTGTATAAATAAAAACAGCATACAGGTCCAAATTTAAGATTTTCAGGAAGGTCAGCATTGCAGCGCCAATTTGCATCTTAAAATAATATTAGATTCTATAAGTTTAGGTCAAATTTAATACTAATAAATATGAAAGAAATACTCTGAACACAAACCTGACCCATCGAAACCTGTGTTAGTGCATTGTATTACATCTAAAATGCGGGACATTAAAAATTAGAAATTTAGAAACATAAATACAAATCTTAAAATCGTAATCGATCAATAAATACAGACCTGGCGTATACCTGTGGCATGCATCACCTCCGACACAACGCAGTTGATCAATTGGATCATTTCTTCGTCCTGTTGTTAGTTCCCCACGATGTAAGGTAATCGTTTTTACATCTTCAAGGAGGACTTTAGAGTTCCATGCCGCTTCACTATAACTAAAG